AATTGGGAGAAGGGGCTCCCCAAAGGCCATACATTCCAGCCCTCTGCTAAAGTTTCAATGTGGAATTGGGAGAAGGGGCTCCCCAAAGGCCATACAGTCCAGCCCTCTGCTAAAGTTTCAATGTGGAATTGGGAGAAGGGGCTCCCCAAAGGCCATACATTCCAGCCCTCTGCTAAGGTTTGAATGCGGAATTGGGAGAAGGGGCTCCCCAAAGGCCATACATTCCAGCCCTCTGCTAAAGTTTCAATGTGGAATTGGGAGAAGGGGCTCCCCAAAGGCCATACATTCCAGCCCTCTGCTAAAGTTTCAATGTGGAATTGGGAGAAGGGGGTCCCCAAAGGCCATCTAATCCCGCCCTCTGCTATGGTCTCAATGTGGAATTGGGAGAAGGGGCTCCCCAAAGGCCATCTAGTCCCGCCCTCTGCTATGGTCTCAATGCGGAATTGGGAGAAGGGGCTCCCCAAAGGCCATCTAGTCCAGCCCCCTCCTAAGGTTTCAATGCGGAATTGGGAGAAGGGGCTCCCCAAAGGCCATACATTCCAGCCCTCTGCTAAAGTTTCAATGTGGAATTGGGAGAAGGGGGTCCCCAAAGGCCATCTAGTCCCGCCCTCTGCTATGGTCTCAATGCGGAATTGGGAGAAGGGGCTCCCCAAAGGCCATACATTCCAGCCCTCTGCTAAAGTTTCAATGTGGAATTGGGAGAAGGGGCTCCCCAAAGGCCATACATTCCAGCCCTCTGCTAAAGTTTCAATGTGGAATTGGGAGAAGGGGGTCCCCAAAGGCCATCTAGTCCCGCCCTCTGCTATGGTCTCAATGCGGAATTGGGAGAAGGGGCTCCCCAAAGGCCATACATTCCAGCCCTCTGCTAAAGTTTCAATGTGGAATTGGGAGAAGGGGCTCCCCAAAGGCCATACATTCCAGCCCTCTGCTAAAGTTTCAATGTGGAATTGGGAGAAGGGGGTCCCCAAAGGCCATCTAGTCCCGCCCTCTGCTATGGTCTCAATGCGGAATTGGGAGAAGGGGCTCCCCAAAGGCCATCTAGTCCAGCCCCCTCCTAAGGTTTCAATGCGGAATTGGGAGAAGGGGCTCCCCAAAGGCCATACATTCCAGCCCTCTGCTAAAGTTTCAATGTGGAATTGGGAGAAGGGGCTCCCCAAAGGCCATCTAGTCCCGCCCTCTGCTAAGGTTTGAATGCGGAATTGGGAGAAGGGGCTCCCCAAAGGCCATCTAGTCCAGCCCCCTCCTAAGGTTTCAATGCGGAATTGGGAGAAGGGGCTCCCCAAAGGCCATACATTCCAGCCCTCTGCTAAAGTTTCAATGTGGAATTGGGAGAAGGGGGTCCCCAAAGGCCATCTAGTCCCGCCCTCTGCTATGGTCTCAATGCGGAATTGGGAGAAGGGGCTCCCCAAAGGCCATCTAGTCCAGCCCCCTCCTAAGGTTTCAATGCGGAATTGGGAGAAGGGGCTCCCCAAAGGCCATACATTCCAGCCCTCTCCTAAAGTTTCAATGTGGAATTGGGAGAAGGGGCTCCCCAAAGGCCATCTAGTCCCTCCCTCTGCTATGGTCTCAATGCGAAATTGGGAGAAGGGCTCCCCAAAGGCCATCTAGCCCAGCCCTCCGCTAAGGTTTCAGTGCGGAATTGGGAGAACGAAGCACACCCACCGCAAAGGTGAGGAAGGAGGGACGGGCCGCCTTCCTGCTGAGGGTCGCTCGCCCTCTCGCTCGCTTGCTCAGCCGGCGCCTTCCCCGCCCTCTCCTCCTCCTCCTCCTCCTCCTCCTCTTTCAGGCTCTGACTGGCTAAGGAGAGGAGAGAGAGGAGAGCTCCCAGCAAGCATCTAGCCATCTTACGTATTTCCGAAATGGACGGAAATACAAAAATATTTGGCGCATGCCGTTTCGATATTTAAAAACACTTCCGGGTTTAAAAATAAGTTTTGTAATCGTTTTGTAATTGCTAAAATTAACGAATATTTAACGAATTACAAAATTAACGAACGAAACCGCCCAGGCCTACTATCTATCTATCTATCTATCTATCTATCTATCTATCTATCTATCCATCTACCTACCTACCTACCTACCTATCTATCTACCTACTTACCTACCTACCTACCTACCTACCTACCTACCTCTATTTATCTTACCTATCTGGAGGATTGCTGGGAGTCCAGGAATAGGAAATGGGAAATCTGCAGGGATTGGGATGCTCTCAAAGAAATCCAAGGAGAAGAAAGCTTGCATCTTGGAAGCAGTGCATTGGGATCCTCCTCCTCTCCTCAAGGGCCTGGTCTAGGGGATGCTGGGAGATGTAGTCCGGAAGAGAGTGTGGATATGCTACTGTGTGTTTTGTTTCCCAGAGGGAGTCGTTTTGCGCATGCGCCGTAGCATCTTTTTGCCTTTTTGGCCTTTTAAGTCCCTTCTTTTGTGTTTTTCAGTGGTTTTTTTTTTTTTTGGAGTGATGGTCACTCATTGGCCTGAGAAGTGTATTGTGTCGGTGTCAATTCGTCCAGTGGTTTTTGAGTTATGTTAACCCCACAAATAGAAGATTGTTATTATTATCTTTTATTTTGCCAAAACATACCTTGTCTCAAAAACTTCCTTCCTATTCTATGTATAAGGTGTAGACATCTCATCATTTACATATATGTGAACACAGACATTTCAAAATCCAAAAACACATGAGCGCCGCCGCCAAAGCATTTCAGATCGGGGAGGCTGAGCCTGCCAAAGGCAGGGAGTTGTCATGCTTTCCTGCAAATGATTACCATTAACAGTTTGGTAGCACCTTATGAGGGCTTGTCGGTTGCTAGTTATCTTTTGATTTATGACTTGTAAAGCATGGCTTAGTATTTGAAGGACAGCCTTGCCGTGGTTTGCTCAAAAACAGATCACAAGTGGTTTAAGGCATGAGGAATGGAAGGTGCAGAGCGGAAGGGGAGAGGGTGGTGGGGGGAGGGGAGGGGGCCCCTGCACCTCCTGCTCTCCCAGAAAAGTCCCAGCCAGGAATGCCTAGGGTTGGGACTGGCTGTGGAGTTGGCCTCATCTCGCTGGGAAGTGAGTTCCACAGGCGGGGGGCTACCACCAAGAAGGCCCTGTCTCTCGTCCCCGCCAAATGCATTTGCGAGGCTGGCAGGACTGAGAGCAGGGCCTCCCCGGATGATCTTAAACTACGAGGTGGGACGTAGAGGGTGGTGGGGGAGGGGAGGGGAGGGGGCGCCTGCACCATCACCCTCTGCTCTCCCAGAAAAGTCCCAGCCAGGAATGCCTAGGGTTGGGACTGGCTGTGGAGTTGGCCTTATCTCTCTGGGAAGTGAGTTCCACAGGCGGGGGGCCACCACCGAGAAGGCCCTGTCTCTCGTCCCTGCCAAATGCATTTGCGAGGCTGGTGGGACTGAGAGCAGGGCTTCCCCGGATGATCTTAAACTGCGAGGTGGGATGTAGAGAGAGATATGTTCAGACAAATAAGCTGGGCCAGAACCATATAGAGCCTTATTAGGCTAAGATCAGCACTTTGAATTGTGCTTGGAAGTGGATTGGCAGCCAGTGGAGCTGACGCAACAGGGGGTTGGTATGCTCCCCGTATGTTCTGTTGGGTGGGTTGAGAAAAGTGCCACGTTAGCCTGATCTGCATCCTAGGTTTGATGGTTGACCAGAGTCAGAGTGAAGTGAACGTGTAGGCACACTCAGTCCAACCCTTTCCCCTTTCCTTTCTCCAGTTCTTCCAGCTCTCTCCTTCCATTCCGTGCCTCTCTTTTCCTTTCTGTTCCAAAACAATCCTGACAAATACAAAACTTGCAAACAAACAGACAAATACAAAACTTGTGAGTTTGGAAGTTGGTTAAATGTCCTTTGCCCAGTCTCTGGCCCCTTGGAGTGCCTCTGGTGTTGCCGCAAGAAGGTCCTCCCTTGTGCATCATGTGGCAGGGCTCAAGGTGCATTGCAGCAGGTGGTCAGTGGTTGGCTCTTCTCCCCACTCGCACGTTGTGGATTCCACTTTGTGGCCCCATTTCTGAAGGTTGGCTCTGCATCTCGTGGTGCCACAGAGCAGTCTGTTCAGCGCCTTCCAAGTCGCCCAGTCCTCTGTGTGCCCAGGGGGGAGTCTCTCGTTTGGTATCAGCCATTGGTTGAGGTGTCTGGGTTTGAGCCTGCCACTTTTGGACTCTCGCTTGCTGGGGTGTTCCAGCGAGTGTCTCTGTAGATCTTAGAAAACTATGTCTAGATTTAAGTCGTTGGCGTGCTGGCTGATACCCAAACAGGGGATGAGCTGGAGATGTCTCTGCCTTGGTCCTTTCACTATTGGCTGCTACTTCCCGGCATGTCAGGTGGTGCAATACCGGCTAAGCAGTGTAATTTCTCCAGTGGTGTAGGGCGCAGACACCCCGTGATAATGCGGCATGTCTCATTAAGAGCCACATCTACTGTTTTAGTGTGGTGAGATGTGTTCCACACTGGGCATGCGTACTCAGCAGCAGAGTAGCCTAGCGCAAGGGCAGATGTCTTCACTGTATCTGGTTGTGATCCCCAGGTTGTGCCAGTCAGCTTTTGTATGATATTGTTTCTGGCACCCACTTTTTGCTTGATGTTCAGGCAGTGCTTCTTGTAGTCGCCATTTCGGCTGAGAAAGGTGGTATAGAAGTAAAGCAAATAAATAAATAGGTCAGAGCACGGTCCAAAGTGACTCCCAGGTATTTGGGTGCGCTGCAATGCTCCCGTGGGATTCCTTCCCAGGTAATAATCCTCAGAGCTCGGGATGCTTCACTGTTTTTGAGATGAAAGGCACATGTCTGTGTTTTAGATGGGTTGGGGATCAGCTGGTTTTCCCGGTAATAGGCAGTAAGGGCACCTAGAGCTTTGGAGAGCTTCTGTTCTACCGTCTCAAAGCTCCCTGCTTGAGCAGTAATGGCACTATCATCAGCATATGATTCCTTCTTATAAAAACCACTCTTTCCCAACCTGGGTCTCTTCACGGCGTCCTTTTCCCTTTTGCTTCTGCCTTCCAGGCCAAGCTGGGCAACAGCTCCGTCAGCCCCAACGTGGGGCACCTGATCCTGAAGTACCTGTGTCCGGCCATCCGGGAGGTCCTGAGCGACGGGCTCAAGGCCTACGTGCTGGACGTCATCATCGGCCAGAGGAGAAACGTCCCTTGGAGCGTGGTGGAGGCCTCCACTCAGCTGGGTAAGGAGCTGGGCAGGGTCAAGGGGTCGGGGGGGGGGGGTCTGGTCTGGCCATTAGGTGCCCCAGACCTCACTCACAGAAGGGGTGCGTCTCCCCCAGTCAGAGCATATGGTAATAATAATAATAATAATAATAATAATAATAATAACCCAGCAATAATGAAATCTAGCATATAGATCTCATTTGCTGTGACATACTGTGTTTTTGTGTCAGTAAAATAATAATAATAATAATAATAATAATAATAATAATGATAATAATAATAATGATAATAATAATTGTATTTCTTACCTGCCTCTCCTTGTGGCTCAAGGCGGGTCACAGTGCAAAGAAAACACATAAACATTGCAAAAATACTATAAACACACATATTAAAATGTAGTTCTAATCTTATTATGGATTTGGAACACAATTAGGAACAAAATTTGCCCAAAAGCTCTTTCCTTTAAGACATCCTTCCTAAGGTTTGAGGTGTGATCTCTTTTCCTCCCCTTCGAATCCATGGCTGCGCTGTGTCCCAGTCTCCATTGTGTCCCAGTGACTTTGCAGCTTCATGGCTACTCAGTGCTATTCAAGCTTGCGAAATGCAACATCAGCACTTGCTTTAAACAGACAAGGGTTCTTCCTCCTATCCTGGACAGTATTCCACGGGAATATACACACTCCACTTGCCTCACTGCCAACAGACGTCTGAAGATGCCATTAGCCACAGGTGCAGGCGAAATGTCAGGAGAGAATGCTGCTGAAACAGCAATCCATCCTTTCTATTGCCGTAGTGTCTCAGCACATGTTCCTCCCTGTTGGGGTTCATGTTGTGCCTTTTAGCCCAGCTCTGTAACCTGTGAAAGGTCCCCAGTGCCCCCACTCTTGACCCCTTGACCTTTGGGAAGCCTCCCAGAGGCCACGGCTGGCCGGCAATTGGGGTCTCCAGAGATGCAGCCCCCTCCTCTGGGGGTCCACGCCTGAGCCCTCCCTCCTCTTCTCCGCAGGGCCCTCCACCAAGGTCCTGCACGGCCTCTACAGCAAGGTCAGCCAGTATCCGGAGCTCACCAGCCACACCATGCGCTTCAACGCCTTCATTTTTGGGCTCCTCAAGTAAGTGGCCACTTCCAAAGAGGAGGGTCCAGGGGGCAAGGAGTGGGTGGGCAGTGTCCTCCTGCAGAGGAAGGGTGGAGCTGTCACCCTCATCTCTTAAAATGGGCAGCTTGAGAGACAAGTAACGAGCTGTTTCATGCTCTCCAAAAGAAAGCTTTATTGTATTTATTCGAGTCTAATGTGCCACCTAATCTAATACGTCCCCCACTTTTCAAAATCCTGGAACCGAAAACGCATTTTCTGGCAAATGTAATGTGCAGTAGCAAAAGGTGCACTCTTTGTGATTTGGCCAAAGGAAAGTGTGCATTCCCTTTGCCGCCTGCTTAGATTTCCTTCTTTGAAAACCAAAGCTTCTCGCAACAGAAAGGAAAACCTTGGGGTGCACCTGCACTGTAGATCGCATCCACTTGGATTTATTTATTTACTTATTTACAGTATTTATATACTGCCTTTCTCACTCCTGGGGGAATGCCCTGGTTCAATGCTATGGAGTCATGGGAGCTGTAGTTTGACAAGGTCTTCATGGGACCTAAGAAGGTTGAGGCCTCACCAAACTACCAATCCCACAGAGCAGCAGTTGGTGCTGGGAGGAGGGGTCCCCAACTGATGACATATGCAGGAGAAGGTGGAACTCTCTGCCTGGCCCCCTCTCTCTTCACTCTGACCCAGAGCAGCAGTTGGTGTTGAGGGGGGGGGGGTCCCCAACTGTTGACATATGCAGGAGACAAGGTGGAACTGTCTTCCTGGCCCCCTCTCCCTTCACTCTACCCCAGAGCAGCAGTTGGTGCTGGGAGGAGGGGTCCACAACTGATGACATATGCAGGAGACAAGGTGGAACTGTCTGCCTGGCCCCCTCTCTGTTCACTCTGACCCAGAGCAGCAGTTGGTGTTGAGGGGGGGGGTCCCCAACTGTTGACATATGCAGGAGACAAGGTGGAACTGTCTTCCTGGCCCCCTCTCCCTTCACTCTACCCCAGAGCAGCAGTTGGTACTGGGAGGAGGGGTCCACAACTGATGACGTATGCAGGAGACAAGGTGGAGCTGTCTTCCTGGCCCCCTCTCTCTTCACTCTGGCCCAGAGGAGCAGTTGGTGCTGGGGGAGGGGTCCCCAACTGATGACATATGCAGGAGACAAGGTGGAACTGTCTCCTGGCCCCCTCTCTCTTCACTCTGGCCCAGAGCATCAGTTGGTGCTGGGGGGGGGGTCCCCAACTGATGACATATGCAGGAGACAAGGTGGAACTGTCCCCTGGCCCCCTCTCTCTTCACTCTGGCCCAGAGCAGCAGTTGGTGCTGGGAGGGGTCCCCAACTGATGACATATGCAGGAGACAAGGTGGAACTGTCCCTGGCCCCCTCTCTCTTCACTCTGGCCCAGAGCAGCAGTTGGAGCTGGGGAGGGTCCCCAACTGATGACATATGCAGGAGACAAGTGGAACTGTCCCCTGGCCCCCTCTCTCTTCACTCTGGCCCAGAGAGCAGTTGGTGCTGTGGGGAGGGGTCCCCAACTGATGACATATGCAGGAGACAAGATGGAACTGTCTTCTGGCCCCCTCTCTCTTCACTCTGGCCCAGAGCAGCAGTTGGTGCTGGGAGGAGGGGTCCCCAACTGATGACATATGCAGGAGACAAGGTGGAACTTTCTTCCTGGCCCCTCTCTCTTCACTCCGCCCTAGAGCAGCAGTTGGTGTTGGGAGAGGGGTCCCCAACTGATGACATATGCAGGAGACAGGGTGAAACTGTCTTCCTCGCCCGCTCTCTCTTCACTCTGGCCCAGAGCAGCAGTTGGTGCTGGGAGGAGGGGTCCCTAACCGATGATATATACAGGAGACAAGATGGAACTGTCTTCCTGGTCCCCTCTCTCTTCACTTTGGCCAAGAGCAGCAGTTGGCGTTGGGGGAGGGGTCCCCAACTGATGACATATGCAGGAGACAAAGTGGAACTGTCTTCCTGGCCCCCTCTCTCTTCACTCTGGCCCAGAGCAGCAGTTGGTGCTGGGGGGGGGGGTCCCCAACTGGTTCTCAATTCAGGAGACAAGGTGGAACTGTCTTCCTGGGCCCCTCTCTCTTCACTCCGGCCTAGAGCAGCAGTTGGTGCTATGGGGAGGGCTCCCAACTGATGACATAGGCAGGAGACAAAGTGGAAATGCTCCCACGTTGTCCCCCCTGAGCTGGCCTTCCCTGTGGCGTGTCCTATTCACCTGGACCCACAGAAAGAGGGCTGTCCCACTGTTTTCACCCTCTTCCCCTGCTCTCCTCTCTAACAGCATCCGGTCCCTGGAGTTCTGGTTCAACCATCTCTACAACCATGAAGGTGAGTCAGCGCACCTATGGGTCTGGGGCACCTTTACCTTCCCTGGAGCTTACAAAGCCCCCCAGGAATTCTATGGGGACCCCCAAGGGTGGCGTAACGAGGTCCAAAACAGTTGGATGAGGCCGAAGTTGGCTCGTGGCTGGCCTTAGGGCCATGCCTCCTCCCAGACAGCCTTTGGCCACTGGTACCCCAAGCACGGAGCCTGACTCCCCACTGAGCCTTTCCCCTCCCTCATTCTCCCTAGATGTGCTGCAGGCGCACTACCAGCCGGTGGGCTTCCTGGCGCTGTCGCAGGGGGTCTGCCAGGGCCTCTTTGAGGAGCTCCTCCTGCTGCTCCAGCCGCTCTCGCTGCTGCCCTTCGACCTGGACCTGCTCTTCGAGCACCACCGGCTGCAGATGGGCCGGGAGCAGCGGCAGAAGAAGGAGCTGCTCCGCATCCGGCAGGACCTCCTGCTCTCGGCCCACTCCACCCTACAGCTCATGCGGACCCCCGGCCAGAATGGGGCCCCCAATGAGGAGGAAGAAGAGGAAGAGGAGGAAGACCCCCAGCAAAGGAGGAGCAGCAGCGGCAGCAACATGGTGGGATGGGGGACCAAGAAGACCCCCAAAAGGCCGGAGGAGGAAGAGGAGGCGGCCCCTGTCCAGCGGGTCAAGGGGGTGGGCGCTCCGTCCGGAGGGAAATCAGAGGAGGAAGTGGCCAGACGGCAGTGGCCGGAGGGCCCCCCAGGGCCCAAGAGGGACAAGCAGGCCAGCTGGTGGTTCCAGCTCATGCAGAGCTCACAGGTCTACATCGAGGGCCCCTCGGAGGGGCCCCGCGCCATTCGCTACGAGCGCAAGGCGAAGAAGGCGGCCCCCACGACCAAGAAGGTGCCCCCACCGCCACCTCGGGAAGGAGTGGTGGAGGGAGCCGAGGCCTGCCCCATCGCGGTGGAAGTGCCCCTCAAGGACAGGCCCTTGCCGGGGCCGACGGCAGGGGCCCCCCAAAAGCCAGAGTTCCCAGAGAAGGAGGAAGAGAAGGGCCCCCACCACCGCCGCCCCTCCTGGATGGGCAGCCCCCCAGAGTCCGTCCTGACGGAGCTGAAGCACAGCAAGGCCAAGGAGGAGGAGGAGAGACCCCAAAAATTGGGGAGCCCCCTGAAAGAGAGCGGCCCCGGAGTGTCCCTGAGCAACCAGCCCAAGTGGGGGTGCCTCTTCGGATCCCGGAAGGCCCCCAAGGACTCCAAGCAGACCCCCAACAGGTGAGTCCTCTCGGGTGATGATGCTGGGGGGCCATTTGAGGGAGGCATTGGGGGTGCAGGGGAGTGGCCTTTTCCCAAGCCCAGAAGCCCCCCCCCAAGAGATATGGATCCCAGCCTGTTGCCCCCGGCTCCTCCCAACCTCCTTCTCTCATTGCAGGTTGCCCTCTGGCTGGCTGAGCCTGGACCGCTCCATCTTCCAGCTGGTGGCCCAGACCGTGGGCGCGGCCAGTGGCGTCTGGAGAGAAGCCCACGCAGACCCCGAGAAGCTGGCCCCAGAACTGCCCCCCTTGCACCCCAAGCACCGGACCCCCCTGCCGCTGCTGCCGCCGGACAGGAGCAAGGCCCAGGAGGGACCCTGGTGAGTGGCTTTGAGGGGGTGGGCAACCAAGGGGGGGGACCACATTGGCGAGGACCCCACTTGCCTGAGTGCTTCTGGGAAGGGGATCCCCCTTTTGAGGCTCGGTACTGCCCCAAATTCCTAGCAACACTACGAGATGCAAGGAGATCACAATGCAATAGATTGATTTTGTCTTCTTTTGGTGGCAGTTCAAGGTGGACAAGATGGACATGTCCAGAGAAGGGCCACCAAAAGGGCCAAACAACTAGAAACTGGGGAGGGGGGAACATGGCAGCCATGTTTAAATATTTGAAAGAGGGTCCCGTTGGGGAGGTAGCTAGCCCGCTTTCTGCTCAGCTTCACTAAACACCAAACCCAGAATTCATTCTGCAGGAGGCAGAAACTGGATTTCAAGTGGGTTTCTTCTCTAATGGGATGAAGCAGGACACAATCGAGGAATGGGTTCAAAATGCAGGGAAAGTGGTTCCCCCAATATTATCTCTCCCTTAGGAGGCTTTTTTTTCTAGCAAAATAATATGGTTGCACCATTTACAAAAACAAGGTTTCCATAACACAAAGTTCAACCTTCACACTGGAGCTTCATACACAAGGCCTTCTCATTCTGAGGCCTACTAACACTCGGCCTTCTCACAGACTAAGGCCTACCTCACACTGTGAGGCCTATCTCACACAGAGGCTTCTCTCACAGACTAAGTCCTACCTCACACAGAAGCCTCCTCTCTCATACTAAGGCCTACCTCACACTGTGAGGCCTTCTGTCACACACTAAGGCCTACCTAACACTCTGAGGCCTATCTTACACAGAGGCTTCTCTCTCATACTAAGGCCTGCATCACACTGTGAGGCCTTCCCTCACAGACTAAGGCCTACCTCACAGAGTGAGGCCTATCTCACACATAGGGTTCTCTCACAGACTAAGGCCTACCTCACACAGAAGCCTCCTCTCTCATACTAAGGCCTACCTCACACTGTGAGGCCTTCTCTCACAGACTAAGGCCTAGCTCACACTGTGAGGCCTATCTCACACAGAGGCTTCTCTCATGGACTAAGGCCTACCTCACACAGAAGCCTCCTCTCTCATACTAAGGCCTACCTCACACTGTGAGGCCTTCTCTCACAGACTAAGGCCTACCTCACACTGTGAGGCCCATCTCACACAGAGGCTTCTCTCACAGACTAAGGCCTACCTCACACAGAAACCCCCTCTCTCATACTAAGGCCTAGCTCACACTGTGAGGCCTTTGTTGTTCATTCGTTCAGTCGTCTCCGACTCTTCGTGACCTCATGGACCAGCCCACGCCAGAGCTCCCTGTCGGCCGTCACCACCCCCAGCTCCTTCAAGGTCAGTCCAGTCACTTCAAGGATGCCATCCATCCATCTTGCCCTTGGTTGGCCCCTCTTCCTTTTGCCTTCCACTTTCCCCAGCATAATTGTCTTCTCTAGGCTTTCCTGTCTCCTCATGATGTGGCCAAAGTACTTCAACTTTGTCTCTAGTATCTTTCCCTCCAACTGTGAGGCCTATCTCACACAAAGGCTTCTCTCACAGACTATGGCCTACATCGCACAGAAGCCTCCTCTCTCATACTATTTATTTGTTTGTTTGTTTGTTTACTATGCTTCTATACCGCCATTCTCAACCCGAGAGCAACTCATGGCGGTTCACAAAAAGGCACAATTCGATGCCCACAACAGTACAAAAATACTTTAAATGTTACTAAGGCCTAACTCACACTGTGAGGCCTTCTGTCACAGACTAAGGCCTACCTAACACTGTGAGGCCTATCTCACACATAGGGTTCTCTCTCAGACTAAGGCCTACCTCACACAGAAGCCTCCTCTCTCATACTAAGGCTTACCTCACACTGTGAGGCTTTCTCTCACAGACTAAGGCCTAGCTCACACTGTGAGGCCTTCTGTCACAGACTAAGGTCTACCTAACACTGTGAGGCCTATCTCACACATAGGGTTCTCTCATAGACTAAGGCCTACCTCACACAGAAGCCTCCTCTCTCATACTAAGGCTTACCTCACACTGTGAGGCCTTCTCTCACAGGCTAGGGCCTAGCTCACACTGTGAGGCCTTCTCACAGATGAAGGCCTTACTCCCTCTGAGGTTTACCTCAGACTGACAGCTACTAAGTTGCAGGCACACCTGCTTATATAGAACTGCAGCTTTTTCTGAGTCATTGTATCCATTTAACCCTTTCAGTGCTTGTTTCACATTTTTGTAATTAAAAACACCTAGTTAATGTTTAATATTTCTGACATGGCTGCCCCTTGGGGTCCCTCCCAACTCTGCAATGCTCTTAATTCTGTTCCTCCCCCCCCCACACCTCCCCCACAGCCAGGTGAAGGCCTTGTGCCACCACATTGCCACGGAGTCCGGGCAGCTGAGTTTCCAGAAGGGAGACCTCCTCCGCGTCCTGGGCAAAGCGGACGCCGACTGGCTGCGTTGTGGACGGGGAGCCGAGAGCGGCCTGGTGCCCGTCATGTACGTCACCCACGCCGAGGACCAGGACTACTGACCTGCTGACCGGCTGGCTAACTGACCGATGGACCAACAGCCCTGTTGCTGCCACTGCTGCTGGCGCCTCCTCTGCCTCCCTGAGAAGCACAGACCCACAGAGCAAAGGCCGGGCGGGCGGTGAATGGAGCCCTGACTGGTGGAGGCACCTTCCTCTTGCACCCTCCTTGCAAAGGAGACTGCGTGGTTGTCCTGTGCGCCCCATTCTCCAGATGGTCCTGTGGCAAAGGGCACTCCGGATGCATGCTCTCGCCCTCCTCCTCGTCGTCCTCCTCTGCGGCCTTTTCCTCTCTTGATGGCCACCTCCAACTCTTGAGGATGCTGCCAGGATGCAGTGACTTCCCCTCCTTGCCTCGGTGGCAGTCCAGTGATGCCAGGCTGCCACACCCAGCATGCACTGCTCTCCTTCCATCCCCAAGTGTCAGTGGGAGGGAACCACAGGCAGAAGCGCAGGACTTCCAAGGAGTGTGTGCCACCGCTGCTGCCTTCCCTCGGCCCCCATTATGTCTTGTATGGCTGCTGGCCGTGGGACCCCATGCAGGACAGACAACGCTGGCCGTGGGACCACCCCGTTCCTCCGGACCCCCAGCCCCAATGGAAGGCATGGATTTGGGGGAAGGCATCCCTATTGTGTGTGTGTTTGTGTGTCGTGTTTAGCTAGAGGCTCTGTGTTAGAGTAGCCAGTCTGGGAAAGTCGCACCCTCCAAATGGGGGGCTGGGGCAGCAGAGGGACCTTGTCGCAGGCTCATTGCCCCCCAAAACCCTCTCCTTGGGGTCCAGGAGGGGGCACAACAGGGGGGTCTAAAGGGTGGGATGGGATGAGATGAGAAAGAGATGGGGGAGCAAGGACCGGACCCAAAGGGAGACCTGTGCCAAGGAAATAGGGAAGAAGAAACCCCACCGTTGGCCCTACCTGCACCCCAAGTTGCACGGGCCCAAAGGGATGGCAGACGGGGAGGACTTGCGACCCTTCTCCTTCTCTGCAAAGCCAACAAACAGTATTCTCTCTACAGTCCTGGTCAGTATTCCGGGCTTGAAGTGTGTGTGTGTGTATGTGGGGGGGGGGTGTCCTTTGCCCCTTGCTCCCCCACATTGCCCATTACGTGGGGAATCAATGAGGATGATGAAGATGCCGAGGATGCTCCTGCGTGTACATAATCGTCATGAGGAAGATGGCCCTCAGGTGGAGAAGGCGCCGCATTGACTTTGCAATCCTGGCGTCAGGACCCGGTGTTTTGCCTTTATTTATTTCTTTATTTATGATGCATACTAATTAATAAAAAAGGTGCTGATGAAGGGGGAGTTCCCTCGGATGCCGGGAGGGATTTGGGGAGTGGGCTTCGCCTTGCAGCAGCTTCACTGTTCAACGTCTTTATTATGGGTTGTTGTAGGTTTTTCAGGCTGGAGGGCAGTGGTTCTCAACCTGTGGGTCCCTCCCCAGATGTTTTGGCCTTCAACTCCCAGAAATCCTAATAGCTCGTAAACTGGCTGGGATTTCTGAGAGCTGTAGGCCAAAACACCTGGGGACCCTCAGGTTGAGAGCCACTGCTGTAGGGCCATGTTCCAGAAGCATTCTCTCCTGACATTTCGCCCACATCCATGGCATGCATCCTCAGAGGTTGTGAGGTCTGAGGATACCTCTGGTGAAACGTCAGGAGAGAATGCTTCTAGAACATAGCCATATAGCCCAAAAAACCTACAATAACCCAGTGATCCCAGCCGTGAAAGCCTTCAACAAGACATCTTTATTATGACTTGGATGAAGGTTCAGAGAGCATGCTTCTTATCAAGTTTGCAGATGGGACCAAATTGGGAAAGAGAGCGAATACTACAGGAGACAGGATCAGAATCCAAAGTGACCTCAACAGATTAGAGAGCTGATTGGCCAAAACTTACACAATGAATTTCAAAAAGGACAAAAGTGAGATACTCCACTCAGGCAGAAAAAAATGAAATGCAAAGATACAGGATGGGAGATGCCTGGCTCGACAACAGTCCTTATGGAAAAGAGTAGGCCTGGGTAACAACGCAAAAATTTGTTTCTAAAATCGATTTGTATTTGGGGGTTTTTTTGTTTCGATATTTAAAATAATTACAAAATTTTCCCTTAAAAAAGTTCGGTATTTACGAAATTTCGTTAATATTTACAAAACATTTTGTAAAGATGGCGCCCTTTTTTTTTCAATATTTTTTCAATATTTTTTTAATTTAATTATTAATTTAGTAGAATAGGGAGGAGAAATTATTATTAAGGAGGGAAGGCAGGCACTCACTCTGGCGGGCCCTCAAGCGCTGCCGCCGAGTCGGGCCCGGCTCCTCCGAAGCTAAGGTTGCAGTGCGGAATTGGGAGAAGGGGGTCCCCAAAGGCCATCTAGTCCAGCCCTCTGCTAAGGTTTGAATGCAGAATTGGAGGAAGGGGCTCCCCAAAGGCCATACATTCCAGCCCTCTGCTAAGGTTTGAATGCGGAATTGGGAGAAGGGGCTCCCCAAAGGCCATCTAGTCCAGCCCCCTCCTAAGGTTTCAATGCGGAATTGGGAGAAGGGGCTCCCCAAAGGCCATACATTCCAGCCCTCTGCTAAAGTTTCAATGTGGAATTGGGAGAAGGGGCTCCCCAAAGGCCATCTAGTCCAGCCCTCTGCTAAGGTTTGAATGCGGAATTGGGAGAAGGGGCTCCCCAAAGGCCATCTAGTCCAGCCCCCTCCTAAGGTTTCAATGCAGAATTGGGAGAAGGGGCTCCCCAAAGGCCATACATTCCAGCCCTCTGCTAAAGTTTCAATGTGGAATTGGGAGAAGGGGCTCCCCAAAGGCCATCTATTCCAGCCCTCTGCTAAAGTTTCAATGTGGAATTGGGAGAAGGGGCTCCCCAAAGGCCATCTAGTCCCGCCCTCTGCTATGGTCTCAATGCGGAATTGGGAGAAGGGCTCCCCAAAGGCCATCTAGCCCAGCCCTCCGCTAAGGTTTCAGTGCGGAATTGGGAGAACGAAGCACACCCACCGCAAAGGTGAGGAAGGAGGGACGGGCCGCCTTCCCGCTGAGGGTCGCTCGCCCTCTCGCTCGCTTGCTCAGCCGGCGCCTTCCCCGCCCTCTCCTCCTCCTCTTCCTCCTCCTCTTTCAGGCTCTGACTGGCTAAGGAGAGGAGAGAGAGGAGAGCTCCCAGCAAGCATAGCCATCTTACGTATTTCCGAAATGGACGGAAATACAAAAATATTTGGCGCATGCCGTTTCGATATTTAAAAACACTTCCGGGTTTAAAAATAAGTTTTGTAATCGTTTTGTAATTGCTAAAATTAACGAATATTTAACGAATTACAAAATTAACGAACGAAACCGCCCAGGCCTAGAAAAGAGCTTGGAGTCTTCTGGGACAGGAAGCTGAGCATGAGCCAAGAGTGTGATGCAGCAGCTAAAAAAGCCAATGGGATTTTGGGCTAAATCCAAAGTCTAGCATCTAGATCAGGGGTCTTCAAACTTTTTAAACAGAGGGCCAGGTCACAGTTCCTCAAACTGTTGGAGGGCCAGATTTTAATTTGAAAAAAACATGAATGAATTCCTATGCACACTGCGCATCTCTTATTTGTAGTGCAAACGCCACTTTAAAACAATACAATAATTAAAATGAAGAACAATTTTAACAAATATAAGTTTATAAGTATTTCAATGGGAAGTGTGGGCCTGCTTTTGGCAGATGAGATAGGATTGTTGTTGTTGTTGTTGTTGTTGTTGTGTGCTTTCAAGTCGTTACAGACTTAGGTTGACCCTGAGCGAGGGCCGGGTAAATGACCTTGGAGGGCCGCATCCGGTCCCCAGGCCATAGTTTGAGGACCCCTGGTCTAGATCAAGGGTCCTCAAACTAAGGCCCGAGGTCATTTACCCAGCCCTCACTCAGGGTCAACCTAAGTCTGAAATGACTTGAAAGCACACAACAATAACAACAACAACAACAACAACAACAACAACAACAGCAATAATCCTATCTCATCAGCCAAAAGCAGGCCCACACTTCCCACTGAAATACTGATAAGTTTATATTTGCTAAAATTGTTTTTCAATTTAATTATTGTATTGTTTAAAAGTGTTTTTCCCCACTACAGATAAGAGATGTGCAGTGTGCATAGGAATTCATTCATGTTATTTTTCAAATTATAATCCGGCCCTCCAACAGTTTGAGGGACTATGACCTGGCCCTCTGCTTAAAATGTTTGAGGACCCCGGTCTAGATTGAGGGAAGTTATGTTGCCTTTGTATTCTGCCTTAGTCAGACCTCTCTGCCTGCAATCACACTGTGCCCAGTTCTGGGCCCCACAGTTTAAGAGATATTGACAAGCTGGAAGGTGTTCAGAGGAGGGCAACTAAAAGGTCTGGAGACCATGTCCTATGAGGAGCGGCTTAATGAACTTAAGGGTCTGTTTAGCCTGCAGAAGAGAAGGTTGAAAAGAGACACGAGAGACGTGTTTACATCTGTGTAAGGGTGTCCCAAGGCAGAGGGAGCAGGCTTCCCTTCTGCTGCCCTGGAGACTAGGACTCAGTGGAGACATGGGTTCAAATGACAAAGAAAAAGGAGATTCCACCTGAACATTAGGAAGAAAAAACGAAATGCAAAGATACAGAATGGGGGAGAATGCCTGGCTCGAGAGCAGTACATGTGAAAAAGATCTTGGGGACAACAATCATAGAATCATAGAATCAAAGAGTTGGAAGAGACCTCATGGGCCACCCAGTCCAACCCCATTCTGCCAAGAAGCAGGAATATTGCATTCAAATCACCCCTGACAGATGGCCATCCAGCCTCTGCTTAAAAGCTTCCAAAGAAGGAGCCTCCACCACACTCCGGGGCAGAGAGTTCCACTGCTGAATGGCTCTCACAGTCAGGAAGTTCTTCCTCGTGTTCAGATGGAATCTCCTCTCTTGTAGTTTGAAGCCATTGTTCCATTGCGTCCTAGTCTCCAAGGAAGCAGAAAACAAGCTTGCTCTCCTCCTCCCTGTGGCTTCCTCTCACATATTTATACATGGCTATCATATCTCCTCTCAGCCTTCTCTTCTTCAGGCTAAACATGCCCAGCTCCTTAAGCCGCTCCTCATAGGGCTTGTTCTCCAGACCCTTGATCATTTTAGTTGCCCTCCTCAGAACACATTCCAGCTTGTCAATATCTCTCTTGAATTGTGGTGCCCAGAATTGGACACAATATTCCAGGTGTGGTCTAACCAAAGCAGAATAGAGCATGGGGAGCATGACTTCCCTGGATCTAGACACTAGGCTCCTCTTGATGCCTGAGGCCAAAATCCCATTGGCTTTTTTTGCCGCCACATCCCATTCCTGGCTCATGTTCTCCTTCCTCTCCACGAGGACTCCAAGATCTTTTTCACACGTACTGCTCTCAAGCCAGGCATTGTCCCCCATTCTGTATCTTTGCATTTCGTTTTTTTCTGCCTAAGTGGAGTATCTTGCATTTGTCACTGTTGAACTTCATTTTGTTCGTTTTGGCCCATCTCTCTCATCCGTTAAGATCATTTTGAATTCTGCTCCTGTCCTCTGGAGTATTGGCTATCCTTCCCAATTTGGTGTTGTCTGCAAACTTGATGATCATGCCTTCTAACCCTTCATCTAAGTCATTAATAAAGATGTTGAACAGGACCGGGCCCAGGACGGAACCCTGCGGCACTCCACTCGTCACTTCTTTCCAGGATGAAGAGGAAGCATTGGTGAACACCCTCTGGGTTCGTCCATTTAACCAATTCCAGATCCACCTCACCGTACTTTTGCCTAGCCCACATTGGACTAGTTTCCTTGCCAGAAGGTCATGGGGGACCTTGTCGAAG